CACGATGGTGTTTGTCCACCATCCTAAGCACCTGGGTGACGTCGACCTGCGAAGGGGCGAGTACGGGATTAGAAACAGAGATTTATAAAATGCTGGAAACGATTCAATGCTACCCGCACCTGCCGCCGTTGGAACTTCAGGTTGAGGGCGTTGAGCTCCTTCAAAACATCAGCAAGGAAATACAAGAGAAAATGGAACTTCAAGGTTATAACGAGCGCATACATAGCAGAATCATACTCCCTTAGGAGAAGCACTGCTGCAGGGAAAACCTCAACCAGACGCTGGATGGCCTCGCCCCGAGACAACCAGCGGATATTGTGAATCCCTTGCATCTCGAGGTTCGTCTCGGTGACCACCTCCTGCAGCTCTTTGAATCGGGAATGGACGACAATCGACCGGCCGAGAATGTCGGCCAAATATCGTACGACTTTGTCAACCATCCCCAAGTCAGGGAACTCTGCTGCAGCATCCTTGGCAGCGAGAGCTTCCCTGCACACATTGCAAATGACGCTGGTCAGAATCCGGGCAGAGAAAACCATAAGGCAAAACTGATGTGGGGCACAGCATACCTATGAGCAATACAGTGGCATGACACGAGGTGAGGAATACGAGTGCGAAGCCTTGCGACAAGCCCGTTTTGGGCTCCCGTCATCACACTCGCTCATCAGTGCTTATGCCACATATGCGGTTTAGGTCGACGCCTTGTCCCTCCAGGTGTGTCAGCAGGACGGCTTGAAGCGATGCGGCGTCGCACTTCTCGACCGTCAGGTGAGCGAAGAACTCAGTCACGACCGTCGTATCGCGCAGGAACGTCAGATACACTATCATATGCTTGCCCCGCCGTCTGTCGGTGCTCTCGTCAAGCTGGATGCCGAGAAATGGGCTCGCCTTGAGGTGGGCAGCTGCTTCGCGCGCAGGTAGCCGACCATGTTCTCAATGAGTTGGTTGAAGCCATACCTGCACACAAAGAGGTAAAAGCACTGCTTAATAGCAAGACTTTCCGTGACCATTTGCGGAATACAAACAACGGTGGCATACATAAATATCATGAGAACCTGGCACAAACAAGGCGCCCCGCATGATTGACAACACTCACTCGCTTTGGTAGGTTCCACGTTCTTTCTCTGGCAGATCAGGAGTGCCTTGCTGCGCCATGAACTGCACCAATGATACGAAGAGGAGAACTGGGGCGTCCGACTTGCAGATGAAGTGGACGATCGCCATCAGCCGCTTCAGTCGCTTGGATTTCGCGTCGCCATTTTCAAACTCCACGATGGACCGCTGCTTTGCCTTTTTGCCGTCAAGTTGAAGCTTGCGCGCCATCGCCGCCGCGTGCTTCTGGCTGTGCTGATGCTTCCGCATAGTCTGCTTTTGAATATCGATCCCGCCCTCTCCATTGCGCCCGTACTGGTAGTCGGGGTCGTCACCGTGCACCATGCAGACTGTGCACTTCATGCACGGACGCCCCTCGGAGGTTTCGGAGATGACAAGCCACGGAAAATGGCGCGTCCATTGCTCTTCCGCCTTTGCCTGAAGCTCTGCGATTGTTAAGGGAAACGGACCTTCGTCGTCCCGACGGTGTGGACGGCGCGGGATCAGTACGAGCCCGCTGCTCGCCAAGGCGCACGGAGGACGTGGAGGTAGATGAGGCAGGCCTACCGAAGGTAAGCTTGCGCTGCTGGTATCGCACCCGTCCAGGCTTGCGCACAGGAAGCACAGGCCCTCCCGAGATGCGAGCGGACGGGCCGACGGAAACGGCAGGTGCGACATGCGGTGGCGGGCTGCTAGGACGCTCAGACGTGGGGGGCGCTGTACCTCAGGCGCGAATGTGATCCACGGTTCTGTGTCTAGCGGAGGTAAAGGGGACGGTGGGGTGGATACAGTTGATGCGGCGTGTGCAGGTGCCGATGCTACAGTGGTAGCACGACCAGTAATAAGGTCGATGCTGATACCCTGGGGAGCAAGGCTACTACATGCTCCTCGACGGGGGAATCTACCGCTGGCTTTGCGGAACCAGCGGCAGCAGACATGAGACCTATTCGTCGAGCAGATACAAGACTACACTTGCGACTCTGCTGAGAGGACGACTAGGAGGAACGAGGCATGGGGAGGCATCTCGTGTAGAAAAACTATAACCAGAGGGTGACAGAATAGATGTGGAGCTACGACGAGAGCCTTGCACTGCCATTACGCAAGGACGCCTCGGCGGCACCTTGCATGTGGCGGTGCCTAATTTAGCACGAAACTCATCTCGCGCTGGCAGGCATCGAGGGTGGCTTCCATACAGCGCAGGCAATGCGCTGGCGGTATGCTGCATGCAAATCATGCCTTAGAGTTGCCAGCAAGCCAAGTTTTGCACATATCGACGAATTGGTAACAGCATGTGACTCAGGCCGCTGTAAATCTGATACGAAATGTACAGCGGTGATGAGAGGCCACGCGACGACTTTATTGTGCGTGCAACGGTTTCCTAGGACTGGATGGCACAATTGGCCCAATGCGCACATGGGCCGGTGGGAGCGTGGGCACCTGGGCAGATGTGTCGGTATCAGACGGAAATATACGCGCTGTCTGAAAACTCAGACGACTGCCTACACCTAGTCTGAGAATTCAGACAAATTTATATAACCAAGATGGTCGTTCAGATGGAAAATTAATGGTTGTCAAAAAATCAGATGACACGGAAAATGTGAGTCTGATTCTCAGATGAACAGACGGATTTCGTCTGCTAACGGGAACCCTGACCTCATTCACAGAAGCCCCCTTCCAGCAAGGCTGGTGTTGCTTCCGTCACCTACAAAGCACTCTACAGTGTCAAGAATCGCCAGGTCAAGTCAGCTGCCACCAGCACAGCCCACATCATGCTCTAACGGTATCTATCTTACATCATCCATTCCTGATGGCAGTGGGATGCAAAACACCCTTGAACACCTACGCACTCCGAACACTTTTTTCTACTGGCCATCACCATCCTGCACATCTACTGCCTCCCCTTCCCACACCCTCGTTACTGCCCCCACCATCACCTCAACCTCTGCCTTCTCCTCCTCCTCCAATGCCCCCAGCACTCCCCCCAATGCTGCGTGCACCGCAGCGGACGGGGGATGTAGGAGAGAGGAGGAAGCCAGAGGCGCAGGAAGAGGAGGCGGGTGGGGGAGAGCGGGGGGAGGGAGGGGAGGAGGCGCATGACAGGCAGCAGCACGAGGGAGACAAAGGGGGCGAGGGGCGGTGGAGAGGGCTGGAGGATGCTGGTGAAGGCTTAGGAGGGGAACACGTGGGGAAGTGGTGAGGGGGGAGTAGGGGAGGGGAGGGGGAAGGGGAGGGGGGAAGGGGGCGCGGGGAGGAGAGTAGGGAAAGCAGCTGGCTGTCGCATGCAAGCCACGCCACCACATCCTCGTGCATGCCCATGCCTGCCATCGCCGCCACCATGCGCCCCACCTGCTGCACCGCCCCCTCGTACAAAGCCCTCGAACCCTCCTCACCGCCCCCCTCCCTGCTCCCATCGCCACCTGCCCCTCTCCCCGCGCCCCCTCCTGGACTCCCGGTGCCACCACTGCTGCCCTCCGTGCCGCATGCGCCTTCCTGGGCTTGCACGAGAGCAGCCGCGGCCTTCTTGACGTGGCTGACGAGGCTGTGAAAGCGCGCCAGCACCAGCCGCCGCGTCATCTCCTCCCGCACTCCCTCTCCCCCCTCCCCTCCTCCCGCTGCCCGCACCTCCTCACCCTTCCCTGCACTCTCCCTCTCCTTCTCTGGCACCTGACCACCTGCTTCCTCCCCCACCTCCTCACCATCCTCATCTGCTGCATTGTCGCCGTCTGCTGGGTTCTCGCCATGTGCTGCCTCCGCTCTCTTCTGCTGCTCCCCCACTCCCTCATTGCGCAGCCCTGTCCCACTCTCTGCCATGCTCTCCTCCGCCACCACTGCAGGCGTACCTCCCCCCTCTGCCTCCTCTCCACCTCCTGCGCTCCGCTCGCTCTTCTCCCTGTCCGTCTTCCCACCTGCACCTCCTCCACCCCTTTCCTCTCTCACACCCCTCGCCCTGCTGCCATCCCTCCCACTCTCACCTGCTCCCCCCCGTCGCCCGCCCTCCCTGTCACCGCGGCCCCCCCCCTGCCAGCCTGTCTCGCGCTGCCCCACAGCTCCCGCCTGCCGCTCGCCCTCGCCCATGCGCCCCCACCTCCTGCCCTCGCCCCGCCACCGCCGCTGCTGACCCCTCTGCTGCCAGTAGCAGCCGCAGCAGCAGCGGAGCCAACGGCCTTCGCAACAGCTGCGTTGGCAACACGTGCGGGAACAGCAGTGGCTGGGGGATCCCCGACTGGGGCGCCCTGGTTCGTCTGCAGCCCCCCACTGCTCACTGGCGTCGCTCTGCGGGCAGGCTGGCCGGCACGCGCAGGCGAGCTGGCTGTGGACGCGTCAATCGCTTTGCTACCAACTTCCTCCTCCACTGCCTCTGCTTCCTTCTTCGCCGCTGCTTCCGCTTCTGTTTCTGCTGCTTCTTCCGCTGTTTCTGTCTCTGGTTCCGCTTCTGCTCCTTCTTCTGCTTCTGCTCCTTCTTCTGCTTCTGCTTCTGCTTCTGCTTCTGCTTCTGCTCCTGCTTCTGCTTCTGCTTCTGCTTCTGCTTCTGCTTCTGCTTCTGCTTCTGCTTCTGCTTCTGCCGCTGCGTCTGGATTTTCTGCTTCTGCTGCTGCCACTGCTGCTGACGGGCATGGCACGGCAAGCACAGCCGCAGGGGTTGGCGGCGGCGGTGCGACGGCCACCAGAGGCGGATTTGAAGGGCTGATGTCGCCGTCGCGCACGCCCTGTCGCTCTTCCTGCGCGCCTGCTTCCCCTGCTGTCGAAGCCGGCGGCGACAGCTGCGGCAGGGCGGATGGCATGGATGTCCCCTCAGCAACACTCTCACGGTTCTCCCCACCGCCGCTCTCATCCGTCTGCGCCTCCGGCTCAGGCCGGCCCACCCTGTCCGTCTCCCTCCCCTCGCTGCTTTCTCCCGCATCCCTCGCGGCCTCGTCTGCTCCTCTCTTTTCCGCATCTGTTTTCGACGTTTTAACGCTTTCCCCGGCCGCTGTTCTCTCCCCTGCCTTGTTTCCGCCTGTCACCTCTGTGTCGCCGGCCCCCCTCGTCTCTTGCCTTCCCCCCCAATCCGCCGCACCCCTCGTTGCCGCCGCCACTGTCCGCCGTTCGTCCCCTTCTCCTGCGACACCCCCACGCGCGCCCTCATTCCCTCCGACCTCCTCCGTGGCTCCCTTTATTCCTGCCGCTTGCCCAGCTTCCGCGGACAGCAGCGCGTCGGGGGGCATTGGCGCGACTGGCGCACCCGCCTCGCGCGCCAGCTGCAGGAGGTAGGGGGTGCGCGAGGGGGTTCTCCGCGGAGTGGCGCTGCACGCCAGGTCTCCCGATTTTCCGCCAGCAGTCGCGGCGGCACTGGTGGCGAGAAGCGCGGAGCCGCCAGAGGAGCGGAGGTCGGTGGAGCGCGGGAGAGCAGATGGGGGCAGAGGCAGGCAGGCGCGGTTGGGGGGGCAGGCATGCGCGCAATGGTGGTTGCATGGCGGGGAGGCGGGGAGGGCGAAGGGGAAGGGGATGGTGGTGAGGCCGGGCGTGGCGTCGATGACGACCAGCGTGAGCAGGCACGCCAGCAGCAGCAGCACGTACTGCGCCGCCAGGAACCACAGCGGCTCCACGCCTGGGGGGGGGGAGGAGAGAGATGGGAGTGATGAAGGGCGCGCACAGGCGCAGAAGCATAGAACAGAAAGCAAGAGGACGGGGTGGGGAGGGAAAGAGGATAGCACGCAGTGCGCATGAGAGCGGGCTTTGCCTAGGAAGAGCGGGGAGGGCAAGGGGGGTGCATGGTTTACCTGGGAAGAGAGGGTGGCGGACGGACTCGGAGAAGAAGCCGAGCGACGTGAACGCCACGGCGGAGATGGCGGCGTGCCCCGCCACGTGCGCGTCGCACATCAGCACAAAGTCCGCCGTCGACGTGCGGAACACCCGCGCGCCGCCGTGCCTGGCGGGAGCAGATGAGAGCGTGGGTGCATGCGGGGGAAGGAGACGATAGGTGAACACGGATGAACAGCGGAGATGATTGGCGCACAAGTGCGAGGAACGCGGGTAGTGTCGCGAATTGTGCTTTCTCTGGTAATTTGGGCGGCACTCACTGGTTGGAGTTGGGCGGCACTCACTGGTTGGAGTTGGGCGGCACTCACTGGTTAGAGTTGGGCGGCACTCACTGGTTAGAGTTGGGCGGCAGGCGTTTGAGGAATGCGAGGAGCGTGGAGGAGAGCAGGCACCAGACGAGCGCCACCGTGATCGCCGTCTTCTGACTCGCCGCGTCCCCCGCGCACGACGCCAGCACCTGCTCGCCGCGCGCCCAGGACACGCGCACCGAGCGTCGGCGAGGGGGGGAGGGAGCGACGGCAGCGAGGCCCGGGGGAGGGGGTGGTTAGGTGAGCTCAAGGATGAAGGGGGGGAGCAGCGAGGGAAGAAGTCAGGGACGGAAGCCATGCAGGAGGAGGGGTGGCAGCGCGCGGCGGGGAGGAGGCGTGGGACGCACGAGGACGAAGTTGAAGGCGAGCAGCGAGCCGAACGGGAAGTACTTGGACAGCCGCGCCGGGAAGAAGCACTGCGTGCCGTCCGTCACCGCCGCCCGCCTCGCCTCGCCCCGCTGCCGCTGCTGTTGTCCGAACGGCGGGCCTGCCATGGCGACAAGGGGATGAGAGCGATGGTAGCGAGCGGGTGGAGGGGGTTAGGGTTCGCCACGAGATCGACCGCAAAATGCGAGGCGCGATGCTGCGGAACCTCACCAGGCCAGCTGACTCCCGGTACGAGGGCGCTCCTTTTGCCATTTCCACGGGGCCTCGGTGCGTCGTCGACTCGTATCCACGCCTCACCTGCTGCCTCGCCCGACGGCTCTAAGTCCGCTGCTGACATGATCGCCCGGCTCTACTAGTCGCACGCTGTGTTGGCCGCTAATGACGCGCTTGGCTCCCTATCCACACCGACAGGATTCCTACCAGATAGCCCGCGTTTTTGCAGATTGGCTCTGCTCGCATCCCGACCAGACGCTATTCCAGCCTCACCCATACATTGCTCATCATCACCCCACTCCGCTTGACCAGACCAGACCCACTCCTGCCTGGCCCCACCCCACCCTCATCCCTTCTGCCTCTCGTCAAGCAATTTCGAGAGGAAGCGAGGCGGCTCGGCTGGGTGCATTGAGAATCAACGAACGTGGGTCTTGTTGATTGCGAAGTGGCGGGAACAGAACAAGAGAGGGACGTGCAAACTTGATCTTCGTCATGTTCTGTACTAGCTCGTAGTACATTTCAATTTGATGCAATCTACAATTCATCGATAATATACAATACTACAATACATTTTCTATAAGGATTTTTTCATTCCTTAGCACGCCACACCGCTAACGCGTACCCCAACCCCACATGGCACCGACACCTGCCCTAGCTTCGGCCCAAACACGGCACCGAACCATTTCCGTGTCACTCTTAAGCGCTCCGCTTCCTCGGATGCCTTCTTCGAACCTGTTCGATTACACAGCTAGGATTGCTATGGTGTTCCTACATCTTGCTTCGTCATTCCATTGTACCACATTCTGTTATTCTCAACCTTGACATTCCATTCCGCGCTACTCTGGTGAAACACTCATAACATCTCGTTTTCATAGCTACTTTCCTAACCTACAAGCTTCCGTATGCGGAAAACTTTTTTTCGGGAGGGGAGTGATTCGCTCAATGAGTTGCAAAGCGATCGGCAGCGAATTAGACGAATTAATTCGCCCGAATATGATAGCATTCGCGCTCTTACATGAGCACGAGTAGTCACTGATATTCCCCTGCCCATCTGGCGTAGTGTCCGCCACATGGACCATGGAAAATTATATATTGAGTTATATAATTGTTAAGCTTGGTAGGTTACCGAACTTTACTGTAGAGGGTACAATCCCCTCCTTGTATGCCTCTCTCTTTCTATTCCAACCCTCTTTTTTTCTCTCCTCAACTTTTCTCCTTCTTAAACCTCACGCCACTCCATGGCTCCTCCTAACTAAACCTCATGCCTTTCCTAGCTTCCTAGCTAAGCTAGCCTTCTAACATGGTATCAGAGTAGTTCATTCCTTGTGGGCCTGCTCCTCACGTTTCCGCTGCGTGCTTGTTTCTCTCTCTCTCTCTCTCTCTCTCTCTCTCTCTCTCTCTCTCTCTCTCTCTCTCTCTCTCTCTCTCTCTCTCTCTCTCTCTCTCTCTCTCTCTCTCTCTCTCTCTCTCTCTCTCTCTCTCGCGTCCATGGCGCCCGCGTCAAGCTGCTGTGGCCGCGTCGTCGCGCCGCGGCTTCGTCGTCGCGTCAAGCTGCTGTGGCGACGTGACGGCGCCCTCACGCTGCCGCGGCGTCTACGCGACAGCGCGCAGTCGGCGTGACGGCGCCGTCGTGCTGCCGTCGCAGAGTCGACGTCCTGCTGCGGCATTGACGCCGCTCTGTGACGGCGTCGTCGGGCTGCAGCCGGCCGTGCGACGCCTGTGGCGCCGCTAGACCGGCCGCCCGCATGTCAGCCTGTGGCGCCCCCCCCCTCCTTCCCCTGTGTCCTCTTCCTTACCGCAGACGACGGCTGACTCCCGCCGGCCGTCCCACCGTCGCGGGTCCTGGCCACGTCACCGAGAGGTGCGGGTGCCGCCGCCGCCACTGTTGTCGAAGCCGCCGCCGCCGCCGCTGTCGCCGCTTGCGTCGGGGCCACGCAGCCACATGCCGCCGCCGCTGTCGACACTGCCGCCGCTGCCGCCGCAGCCCCTGCGGTCGACGTCGCCGCCTCACGCGCCGTGGGGTCGACCGACTTAGTGTCGCTGTCACTGTGGCTGGAATGGGGGTGCTAGGTTAGAAGGTGTGGGTGTGTGTGGGCTCGTGACTACCGAGCCTAGGGGTTGTGTTAAATTATATATTGAGTTATAAAATTGTTAGGCTTGGTAGGTTATCGAACTTTACTGTAGAGGGTACAATCCTCTCCTTGTATGCCTCTCTCTTTCTATTCCAACCCTCTTCTTTCTCTCCTCAACTTTTCTCCTTCCTAAACCTCACGCCACTCCATGGCTCCTCCTAGCTAAACCTCATGCCTTTCCTAGTTTCCTAGCTAAGCTAGCCTTCTAACAGACCAGGCATTGTTCGACGAGCTGCTAGCGAAGTTCGCCGCCACGGACGCTTGCTTGCAAGCTGTGTTAAACGATAATGAGAAACTTCGCGCCGAAGTTACCGAACTTCGCCAGGCGCAAGAGACTGTTAGAATGCAAGAATGAATTACTAGTGTGAGAAACCTAGAACATATACCTGTGGGGGTTGTACTCACTAGAAGCACACACCTAGGCTAGCCTATAACTTCTACATACAGCATATATATAAGTTGACACACCCCCTAGGCTAGAGAAGGGGTGGTACTAAGCAAGAAGCATACAGCTCAGGGTGGCACTACTAGTCCAACCACTGAGGCAGGGGTCTGGAGACCAGTCAGCCAGATTACAAACAAGACTAAAGCAAACAAGGGCGGCACTACTAGTCCAACTACTGGAGACAAGGCCATAAGGCCAGTCAGACAGATATATATAGACGAGAGTATACAATCAGGGTCCTAATAGGTGAGTAGCTACAGGAATAAGACCAAGCTGTACACAGTGCCGCTGATGATCTCTAGGCGCAAGCGCCTTCGTAAAGATATCAGCTGTGTTGGCACTGGAGGCCAAGTGAACTACGCGAGCCTGGCGACGCTGCTGTAGCTTGCGCAGGAGGAAGTACCTCAGCTGGATATGCTTCGCTCTGCCCTCAAGCCGAGGCTCCTGACACAGGAGAATCATGGCCCTGTTGTCAGCGTACAGGACCGGGGCAGAGCTAGGCCGCTCATCTAAGTCTGTGAGCAAGAAGGTCAGCCAGCGGAGCTCCTGTGCCGCCATGGCACCGGCGTAGATCTCAGCCTCACAGCTGGACTGAGCAACAGACGGCGAGCGAGTGGATCTCCAAGAGATAGCACCCGAACCAAAGCTAAAACAGTAGCCCTGAGACGACCTGAGAGTCTCAGAGTCGTCTGCCCAAGAAGCATCTGTGTGCCCAGTGAGAACCACTTGCCTGCATCCTCCAAGCACTAACCCCATGCCCGATGTACTTGCTAGATATCGCAAAACCCTCTTAGCGGCAGACCAGTGCTGTGGTCGGTGTCTGCCGGTGGCCACAAAGCGAGCCAGGATGCTGAGAGGGTATGCGAGATCTGGGCGAGTGCAAGTCATCAGGTACATGAGGCAACCCACCAGCTCTGCGTAGGGGCCACTGGGCTCTACTGGCTCCTCAGGAACGGGAGCGGAGAGCCCATGGTCCATAGGTAGAGGTGTGGGCTGTGCGGAGGAGAACTGAAGACAGAACCTCTGAAGAACCTGACGCACCAAGTGTGACTGAGTCAGAGTGATGGTGCGTGCTGCTCTGTCCCTAGAGATCTGCAGACCAAGATAGCGACGCAACTCTCCAAGGTCTGTGCAGGTGTGTCTCTTCAGCAGCTCTGCCTTCACAGAGGCCAGTGCCTCCCTGTCAGCAGTAGCAAAAACCAGGTCGTCTACGTAGACAAGGATGTAGAACGGAGTCTGGCCGGAACGCACAAAAAGTGAGGGGTCAGCAGAGGACGGAAAGAACTGCAGGTCTGCTAGCGTGGCAAGCAGCGTGTCGTGCCACTCGCGGGGAGCCTAGCGCAGGCCGTAGACCGGGCGCCTGAGAAACCACCCCGGTCTGCGCTAGGCTCCCGCGCCTGAGAAGGTCTGGAAGAAGTCCACCCCCTCGCGCTGGCTGAAGCCTCTAGCCACGTAGCACGCCTTGAAGACATGCAGCTCTCCAGGGGGGCGCTTCACCTTGAAGAGCCACCGACCATCGACTACGTTCACCCCAGGAGGGGGAATTGCGTCGAAATAAGTGCCGGTGGACCTCCAAGATGCCATCTCCTGCTCCATGGCAGCTATCCACTGAGAGGCCCAAGGTCCCGAGGTGGCCTCAGCGTAAGTGCGAGGGGTCGGGATGTCGAAGGTGTCTGGGTCACCCTCTAGGACTAGGAGCATGGAGCAGAGATGGGGAGCGGCCTCGGAAAGGAAAGCAAGCTCGTACTGCCTGTCCTCTAGAACGTCACTGCCAAGGGCAGGTGCACCCCCGACGGACGGAGGACGGGCGGGGTCGGAGACCAGAGCGGTAGCATAGTCAAGGCGGCGGGTAGAGGCGAAGTCAGCGACAGCAGCGACAAGCACGTCAAGGCACGAGACAAGAACAGACGGGTCTGTAACAAGAGAGGCAAGGACCCGAGGGACAAGGGGACGAGCGGCATGGAGGTAGTCAGACAGCGGGGGAGGTGCAACAACAAGCGACGAGGGGGGAGGCGAGGGGAGGAGGTGAGGACAAGACGAGTGAGAACGGAGCAACATAGGGTGGGAGCGTAGGACAGGGGAGACAGGACGAGCACGTGAGGGATGCCGAGACCAAACGTGGGACGGAGGTGTAGGGTCAGGAGACAGCGGAGGGGACACAAAAGGGTAACGAGGAGGAAGACGGGCCGGAGAATAGTCTGGGGGTGGGAACACAGGGTCATAGACAGGAAGGTGAGAAGGTGGTGGGGGAGACACCGGCGAGCGGTCGGAGGAGGGAAGGCCGAGCAGGCGAAGAGCGACGGCTGCGGCGACGGCTTCGGCGGCTGCTGCGACGGCTGGGTCTCGACCCGCGGACCGGCAGGGGCACGACGACCGCCGAGAGAACACTCAATGGCAGCACCCCCAGAACCAACAACCCCAGAGCGAGAACCCCCTTCCAGCACAAGCAGCACCCCCAGGCCCGCCGGGAAAGACCACGCCAGGAGCCGCAGAACGAACCCTCTCCTCAACGCCAATACCCCCAGAGGCCAAGAGCTGCGGCGGCGGCGGCGGCGGCGAGTGCGATAGCGGAGGCGGAGACACCGGGGAAGGGAGACGCGGCAAGGACGGGGGGGGGGGGGCCACCAGAGTCAGCAGACTCCTCAACGGGGACAACCGACGGGAGGGGAGTGCCATGAGAGACACCAGACGGGGCAGGACGAGGCGGGAGGGGAGCAGGGGCTGCCGGGGGAGAGGGAGCAAGGAACAGGGGCGGGGGAAACCGGGAGACCTCGCTGAGGGAAGCAACGGTAGAAGGAGACAGACTCGTCAAATGTGACGTCATGAGAGTGAAGGAAGCGGTGAGACGACGTTTGGTAGAAGAGCCAGTCAGACGAGTCCAGGGGGAAACCGAGGAAGACACACGGGACAGTGCGGGCGGTGAGCTTGTCCGTGCCAGAGGCACCAACGTGAGCAAGGCAACCCCAGACGTGGAACGCAGACGCGTCACCGGGGGACCCGGTCCAAAGGAGGGTCGGCGAAACCTGCGGCCACTGGGAGCGTGGCCACAAGTTAAGCTGGTGAGCAGCGTAGCGAACAGCGAACGGCCACAGAAAATGGGGGGCAGCGGCATGAATCATGGAGGTACTAGCAAACTCCATAACCAAGCCGATGCGGCGCTCAGCAACCCCATTCTGCTGTGGCGAGTCCGGCAAGATGTACGACTGGGTGATGCCCTCCGCACGACAGAATTGGCCAAGCCAACCAGAGGCGAACTCGCCGCCACGGTCAGAGTGGAGACACAACACGGGGAGACCGCGGTGAAGACGCGCAGCCACAACCCACGGGAGAAGAACGTCGGGCACGTCGGCCTTCCGCTCCAGGGGAAACACCGTGGTGTAGCGTGTGTAGTCGTCGACGAGAACAAGAAAGTAGCGCTCACCGCGCGGTCCGGGGACGAGGGCTGGGCCCCAAACGTCCAGGTGCAGGGTCTGAAGGGGAGCAGTAACAGGGCGAAGCGAGGAGGAGTGAGGGGCACGGCGGAGCCGGCCCTCGACGCAAGGCGTGCACGGTGGAGCAGTCAAGGGGGGGAGGGCGGGGAGGGACGCGGGGAGGCCTAAGACAAGACCGTGCTGGGACATGTGACGCAGACACGGGAGAGCAGGGTGACCTAAGCGGTGGTGCCACAAAAGGGACGGGTGAGTGAGGGACCGACACGAGCAAGCTACAGCGACCTGTGAGGATGCACCAACTGGGGGGGAAGCGGTGTCGAGGGTAAACAGATCGGACACCGGGTCCCGGGGGAACGTTGCAAGGGGGGAACCCAAGACTGCCTCGGTACAGACAGCGAACCACTCGTGCCCAGAGAACGTAGTGGTGACGCCGAGGTCCTGAAGACGGCCGACACCAACCAGGTTCCTGGAGAACGAGGGAACGTGGAGGCCTGTAAGAGAGCCAAAGGGAACGGCTGGACAGGGAAGGGAAGTGGAGCTGCGAGCGACGACAGGACCCGCAGAGGGGTCAGCGAGAGCGACAACAGCAGGCACAGCAAGCGGCGTGGGAGTGGAGCGGTCGCGGAAGAAACAGGCAGAAGCACCGGAGT